GTGGTGAAACAAATACCTATTAGTAAAGGGGAGAAAGCGCTTTGGAACCCTCATAGCTTACCATCGTCAAGGAAAAGTTTGCTTTGCTTTGTAACATATTTGTAACTAAAAGTCAACCCTCCAAACCAAAACGTAACAGGGGAGAGCAGGGATGTGTGTTCTGCTTTGGGGATGAACCTAAAGGGGAAAATTCCCTGAAGAGGAGACAGGCGTTGAGGACCATGAGAAAGGATGAACAATTCTTGGGACTTGTAGTCCAGGAGAGTGAAACGAGGCTGGGGTTTAACCAGCAAGAACACGTCACACAACCCCTTTGGCTAAAGGTGCCGACAGGGCTGTTATCTTACCACTGTGGAGGAGTCTAGGTGTGTGGGCTCAGTGTGTACACCACCCAACCTAGCCACATCCCCACTCCCAGATGAATTCATAGGAGGTATAATTCTCTTTGAACTCTTATCTGGAAAGCAAAGAAGATAGGAAACTAATTGAAGTGCCCTCTTACTAAGCTGAGCATGGTGGCTCACGCTTGTAATCCCAGCACTATGGGAGGCCAAGGCAGGTGGATCACTTGAGACCAGGAGTTCCAGACCAACCTGGCCAACATGGTGAAACCCCATATCTACTAAATACAAAAATGAGCCAGGCGTGGTGGTGAACACCTGTAATCCCAGCTACTCAGGAGACTGAAGCATGAGAATCACTTGAACCTGGGAAGAGGAGGTTGCTGTGAGTTGAAATCATACCACTGCACTCCAGCCTGGGTGGCAGAGCAAGACTCTGTCTCAAAAAAATAAAAAAGTCTGAAGTGCCCTCTTACTTAGCAACATTAGGTATAGCAGAGAGGACAACACAAACCCACCTTCTTTTCACAGTTGTCATTTGAAAGGAATAACACAGTCCCATGCCCCAGGAGCCAGGAACATCCAGCCTCCTCTCATCCAAAAAATTTTTTAAACCCAAGATCTGATGTAATGCTCCTGTTGAATTATTAAAGTGGTATTATGGTATATTATTTAATTTGCTTTCTTTCTTAGATCCCAAGAGATGACCCTAAGACATTTAAACCTTGGTCTATCCCTATCGCATAACACTGGTATTTCCTAAAAGGTAAGATCAATAAACTAAAAGAGTATTATTCAAAGAATGGGGAAGAAGCAAACAATCCAGTGGCTTTCACACTGGGTTCTACAGAAATCAAGGATTGCACAAGTGCTTAAATCATGCTTCATTTTAAAGTCAATGTATCTTATCCAATATTTAAGACCGTTAACCCGAAATATGTATGCATTCTTTGGGGAACTGACAAAGGAAGGCCAGGGTGTTTTAACCAACATGGTGGTTTTTCTTTTTATTTTAAAATAAAATATGAGGATACACTGGATTAAAATATTTAAAGATCCTACTCCCTGATTCTTCTAAGAATCACAACCAGAATGCAAAACACCAAATTGAAATCTGCTGATTACTCCATTTATAATTAACTAGCACTGTTTGGAAGGGTTATCTATCTGTATTCACTGAATTCAACTGCTGCAATTTTGTGCTGCTGCTTAACACAACACAGAGAGCACTGAAGGCTTTGGAGAGTGGCCACAGAAACTCCTTGGGAAATACATGCTGATAAGAAGAAACACTGTTTTTTGTTAGAAAATTAAACTTCTATGTTCTGCACACTAACAGGGCAACAACTGAAAACACTGTGGAAGAGAAAGAACTATGGCATACACTCAGAAAAAAAATAAAATTTTTTATTAAAATCTAATTTTCCAATGTAATCGGGGTCTTGCTATGTCACCCAGGTTAGTCTTGAACTTCTGGGCTCAAGTGATCCTCCCATTCTGGCCTCCCAAAGTGCTGAGATTACAGGCATGAGTCACTGTGCCCAGCCTACAGACTTTAAAATAAAGACCATCCTCTGCTATGCATGGTTGCTCATTCCTGTAATTTCAGCACTTTGGGAGGCCAGAATGGGAGGATCACTTGAGCCCAGGAGTTCAAGACCAACCTGGGTGACACAGCAAGACCCCGTCTCTCTTTTTTTATTAAAATTTAAAATTTAAGAAATTTTTAAAAGACCATCCTCAAATTGCAAGACAAATTTAAAAAGCAAAAAACCTCTTGTCACTTTACCACTTATAACTACTTCTGTGTGTCAGAATGTTATCCATGCCTTGTAGTCAAAACAAGATGCACATATAAATTGCATTCTGAGTCTGTAACTGTCATCCTTTACCTGCAATTTCAAATTCTTAGATTCTTCAAAGTAACATAATTGCTCTTACATATTTGCTTTATAAGGAAGTGTTCAACATTAATCTTATAAATTAAATTTATACCACACTAAAAACATACATGTGAGTGTGTTCCCCATAACATTTTAAACCTCTTGCTAAAAATACTCAAAATCCTCTGATGTTATCCAGTTTCTTATTTTATAAATGAAGGCATGGAGGCCCCAGGAGAATGAGTAACTACCCAAATGCACTTATTCATAACTGTAAATCTTACCAACCCAATTGTCAGTTATTTATTGTTCTTCTCCCTAAATATGAAATTGAGAGATTTGTACACTTTGTTTCATAATTATTGTCTTTTCTTCTTTTTTCCAGGTGTTTCAGTTTTTCACCAGTAAAAAGATGGCTTGTTAATCCTAAGTGGGTGCCAAACTGATACTCTTATACTGTTGTAGAAAAAAAAAGACACAAAATTTAGAAACATTATCCAGCTCTGATTATATTAACCCAATGAATCATTATTTACAAAGTATTTTACTTAGACTTTCCAGCCTAGAAGCCACCAGCAAAGCACTTCTATATCCACAGCAAGCAAGTTTAATTTTGATTTGTTTCTGAAAAGATCATATAAACATGGATGTAAAAGCAAATTTTTCCTTTCTGTGTCCATCCAATCTAACTGGACTGGTAATACAGGTTGTGGTCATCGAACGAATGACACTTCTTGGTAGATAAATATATGATGATTTTCCCAGTGTATTTGATTCAGTAACCACAAGAGAGTTCTGCAAGTTTTGTTTTGCCATGGATCAGCCATAGGTCTATGTACGTGCATTTGACAGCAAAGAAGTGGTATTTCCCTCATGTAGATCTACTATTCAATTGATTAACATTCTTTTGGATTGGGAAAAGGGGATAAAGCAATATAAAAAGTTTGCCTTACCATGTGTATTATTTTAAATGACAGTAAATACAATTGTATTTTTTTTTTTTCTTAGAATTTGGTCAGTTGGAGATAAGGATGGTTACTGGGTATTTATTTTCCATTTGTCATAGTTGAAAACTATTAAGCACTAAAAATAGAGGGGCTTGAATAAAAATTATTTCTGTGAATTGATGCAGTAAAACCTGGATGGCATGGATGTTAATAAAATACTTCATTAAAAAGATACAGTTGAAGCCATATATTTGAAACCAGTTCTTTGGGCTCAATAAACATCATTAAAATATGAAACCGACTAAAATTTTTAAATAAGTAATACATTAACATGGCTTGGATGTTTAAAAAAAGATAAAGCAAAGACTTACTCTCACACTGCTATGGCCTGAATGTTTATGTCCCCCCAGAATTCACACATTCAAACCGAAACCCCAAAGCAGTGGTATTTTTGTTTGTTTGTTTGCCCGTTTGTTGTTGTTGTTATAAGATACTAGGTCCTAGAAAAGGTGGCATTAAGAGTTGGGGCCATTGGGAAGTGATTAGGTCATGAGGGCTCCACCTTCATGAATGAGATTAGTGCCCTTATGAAATAGACGCCCAAGAGCAAGGCAACCTCCTTCACCATGTGAGAACACTGCAAAAAGACATCGTCTATGAACCAGAGAGGGGCCCCTCATCAAATACTGAATCTGTTAGCACCTGGATCTTGGACTTCCCAGCCTCCAGAACTGTGAGTAAAACATTTCTGTTTATAAGCCACTTAGTTTATGGTATTTTTGTTATAGCAGCCCAAACCAACTAAGACACATACCACCCCCATCCATCCAATTCTCACACATGTACAGAGTGTAACTTCTGCTCTCCCAGAAGCCCCAGTATGTAGCCTGTCCCAGAATGCCCAGCCACATTTGGCAAAATCAGAGCTACTCAGCTGGCCCTACAAACGGACAGGACACAATGGCCAAATGTCAGAATGTTTGAAGAACGTTAGGGCAACAGGACAAGTACCCGGCTCCTGCCCCTATTTTCACACCTGCTGTGTGCCTTCTCTTTGTCTAGACATTCCACCCTACCCACTTCCCGGCATCCATGGCAGCCTGGTGGTACCTATAAGGGTGAGGAACCGTAACCCTTAATGCTCATTGTGGGCTTCATGGAGCCTCCTATTTCTTACTCTCTGGGACTTGGAGCACAGGAGATATTTGTACTTTTGCCTTCTGAGTCTGGGTTCTCTGAGTAGGTTTTCTTTCTTGTAAAGAAAGCCTGCTCCCTGTTCCACCCTAGAACAGTGAAAATTAACATTGTATCTGCTTCATAGAATTGTGCAGACAAATAGCAAAAAGATATGCTTTCTAATTTTTAAGACGTCAAAAGAAAGTCAAAAAATTAGGCAGAAATAGTTGGAGACAGAAAATAAAGGAATTTTCTCAGTCCCCCCACACAACCCTGAAAGTTAATGTTACCATGCCACTGAGTACAAAGCAATAGCGTTCCTTCCTTTGCCGAGGCACAGTAGGACAGGCTCCCCTGTGCTCCTGTAACTCCACATTTAGATAATTTTACTAAATGTGAAATTCAGTAAACTTCACATTTAGTCTTGCTCCAAACCATTCTGCACATAACGGCCAAGATAATCTTTCTCAACATCTGTAACCACCCACTGCCACTGGGTGAAAGAGTAGCATTCAACAGGACAGTTTCTTCTTGCAAAAGGGACTTTACTGTCATCTGTGAAGTGGTCACCTGTTGTTTTTATGTGACTGCTGGCTCTTCCTTTAGGAAGTCATCCATCCTCCACTCCATGTGTTCCAAATGAGCTACTGGGAAAGGAATGAGATAAGCTGGGTTAGAGTCTCTCCTGAGATAGGCTCTTGAGCAAGGTACACAAGGTGAAAAGGCCACTGTAGCAGGTCGCCTGGATGGCTACAGACAGTCCACACGCTCCCGCTGCTGAGCTCCTCAGGAGTGCCCTCCTTCCTGTGCCTGGTTCTTCAGCTCTGCCCTCAATTCTGTGACCTACCCAGCACCTTTCCAGTGGTCAGTTTCCTAGGGTTGCCGCAACAAATTTTCACAAGCTGAGTGGCTTCGGTGTGTATTCTCTCGCAGTTCTGGAGGCTAGAAGTCCAAAGTCAAGGTGCTGGCAGGGCCATGGGTTCTCAGGTAGAATCCTTCCTTGCCTCTTTGGGCGGCTCCTGGCGCTCCTTGTGGCTGCATCACCCCAACCTCTGCCTGAGTCATCTCATGGCCTTCTTCCCAGTATGTCTGTATCCAAATCCTCTGCTTTCTCATAAAAACATCAATCATTGGATTTAAGGCCCATCTTTATCTAGTAAGACCTTAGCTTAGCTTAATTAATCTGCAAAGAATTTATTTCCAAATAAGGCCACTTCTGAGGTTCCAGGTAGACATTAATTCGGGAGGATGCTATTCAACCCACTCTACCAATAAACCTTGTTGAGACTAATGGATAGTTCTGGGGTAGAAGTGACCCTCTCTCCTTTATGCCCCTATTGTACCTGGTTCTTCTGTCACACACATCATCTATTTGTCTGCATATGTATCCTTTCTTTCTAGACAAACCACTGACTGATGACAGGGACTGTGTTTTACTCATCTCTTACCATAGGGTCTATCTCAATCTGATACTTACATATGTTTGATTAAGGAAGAGCCAATGAATGTGCTCTATGACAACAAAAGTACCGAAGAACCTACACTGTGCAACTCAGATATCCATGAGCCAGGAGATCTAAGGAAGGTAAAAAGAAAAAACCTACAGTTATTTGCCAAAGAAACTAGACTTCACATTTTTATTGGATATAAGTCTGCTGGAGTCACAATTTTACTTGCACATATTAAGCAAAATTTTCCAAAATTTGGAAATAAGGCAAAAAGAAAAAAATACTATGAGACGTTTATTTTCTTTTATTTGAGAAACAGGGTGTCACTCTGTCACCCAGGCTGGAGTGCACTAGTACAGTCATGGCTCACTGAAGCCTCAAATGTCTGGGGTCAGGCAATCCTCCCACCTCAGCCTCCAGCGTAGCTAGGGCTACGGGAGTGTGCCACCAGGCCTGGCTAATTTTTTAATGTTTTGTAGAGATGGGATCTCCCAATATTGCTCAGGCTGATCTCAAACCCCTGGCCTCAAGTAAACCTCCCCTGCAGGTAACTTTTCAATGTTATCCTCCAGCACTGTCTAATAAATCCATTACAGAGTAATCTGATACTCTAGGGCTGCCCTGTCTATATGGTAGCCATGAGCCACATGTGGCTATGTTTTAACTTTTAAATTTAAATTAAAAATTCCATTTTCTAGTTTCTTTTTTTTTTTTTTTTTTTTTTTTTGAGACGGAGTCTTGCTCTGTCACCAGGCTGGAGTGCAGTGGGGCAATCTCTGCTCACTGCAACCTCCACCTCCCGGGTTCAAACAATTCTCCTGCCTCAGCCTCCCAAGTAGCTGGGACTACAGACACGTGCCACCATGCCCAGCTAATTTTTGTATTTTTAGTAAAGGCAGATTTTCACCATGTTGATCAGGATGGTCTCAATATCTTGATCTCATGATCTGCCCACTTCAGCCTCCCAAAATGCTGGGATTACAGGCACAAGCCACCACATCCGACCTCGTTTTCTAGTTTCTTTAGCTACATTTCAAGTACTATATTCAGTATCCACATGCAGCCAGTGGGTACCTTATTGAACAGCACAGAAAAGACCAGTATCTATCACCCCAGAATCATATAGATGATTTTGCTCTAGGGAAATGTCACTTTATATATCTACTGTCTATCAGGGCCCAGACCACATTAGATCATGTGGTATGCAGAATGACAGCATGCCAAAGACATCCACATTCTAATCCCTAGAACCTGTGACTATGTTAGGTTATGTGGCAAAGGGAAATAAATGTTGCAGATGGAATTAGGTTTGCTAATCAGGTATCCTTAGAATAAAGACATTATTCTGACTTATTCGAGTGGGCCCTATGTAATCACAAGAATCCTTAAATGTGGAAAAGAAAGGCAGGAGAGTTGGTATGAAAGTAGCACAGTGCAAAGAAGACTCAACTGGCCATTGCTGGCTCTGAAGATGTCAGGGGCCACAAGCCAAGGAATGCAGGCAGTCTCTGGAAGCTAGTGAAGGTGATGAAACACATTCTCACCTAGAGTCTCCAAGCAGAGTGCAGCCCTGCTGACACCTTGATTTTAGCCCAGTGATACCCATTTTGGACTTCTGACCTTCAGAACGGTAAGATAATAAATTCATGTTGTTTTAAGCCACCAAGTTTGGGATAATTTGTTATAGCTGTAATAGGAAATAATACAGGTGTTAACTTGTAAAACATTGATAAATTACCAAGAATTTCTGTATAGTTGAAAAGATAACCTGCAAGGTTTCAGTTTTATTGCCCTTAGGACAATTAACCAGTTTTGTTTTGTTGTTTGTTTGGGGTTTTCTTCCCGCTAATCTGCAATCTTATTCTGATGTTCTTTTTTCCATCTTGGTTTCTCACATCTTCCTTTGAACTTGCTTTATTACGCTGGCTCCCTCATTGACTATATATTTGACATCTGCTCACTATATATTGTATAAAGTCACTATAGATTGCACAGCTTTAAGGTCACAAGTGGTTTTTGGTTCTATGGATGAACTGTATAGTGGTGAAGTCTGGGACTTTAGTGTACCCATCACCCAAACAGTGTACATTGTACCTAATAGGGAGTTTTTCATCCCTCATTCCTCTCCCACTCTCCCTCCTTGGTTTATATACTTAAAGTTAGATGCTGACATGCAGTCAGCAAAGGAAAAAAAAAATAAACGCAGGACTCTGAAGTTCTTCCGTATGTAAGAAGAACCTACATAATTTATACAGCAATTAATCTGATGAACATAGTTTATAATTTAAATGAATACATTTTATATTCTACAACAAATATAATCTATTGACTAAATGTAACTAATGATGAACCTCCATACACATAACCCCATTAAAAAGTGGGCAAAGGACATAAACAGACACTTTTAAAAAGACATACAAGTGGCCAAAACAAGCATATGAAAAACAGCTCAATATCACTGATTAGAGAAATGCAAATCGAAACCACAATCAGATACCATCTCATGCCAGTCAGAATGGCTATTATTAAAAACTCAGAAAATAACAGATGCTGGTGAAGTTGCAGGAAAAAAAGGGAATGTTTACACACTGTTGGGAGTGTAAATTAGTTCAACCATGGTGGAAAGCAGTGGTGATTCCTCAAAGAGCTAAAAACAGAACCAGCATTTTACCCAGCAATCCCATTACTGAGTGTAAAGGGAATATAAATCATTGTACCCTAAAGACATGCACACAAATGTTCATTGCAGCACTATTCACAATAGCAAAGACATGGAATCAACCTAATACTTGATATGGTCTGGCGCTGTGTCCCCACCCAGCTCTCATCTCAAATTGTAATCCCCACATGTTGGAAGAGGGGACTGGTGGATCATGGGGGCAGATTTCCCCCTTCCCGTTCTCATAATAGTGAATTTTCATGAGATCTGGTTGTTTGAAAGTGTGTAGCACCTTTCCCTTTGTGCTGTGTCTCTCCTGCTACCATGTAAGATGTGCTTTGCTTCCCCCTTGCCTTCTGTCAGGATTGTAAGTTTCCTAAGGCCTCTTAGCCATGCTTCCTGAACAGACTGCAGAACTATCAGTCAATTAAACCTCTTTTCTTCATAAATTACCCAGTCTCAGGTAGTTCTTAAGAGTAGTGTGAGAACAGACTCATACAATGCCCATCAATGAGAGATTGAATAAAGAAACTGTGGTACATACACACCATGGAATACTATGCAGCCATTAAAAAAGAACCAGATCAGCCAGGAGCAGTGGCTCACGCCTGTAATCCCAGTACTTTGGGAGACCAAGGAGGGTAGATCACAAGGTCAGGAGATCAAGACCATCCTGGCTAACACAGTGAAACCCTGTCTCTACTAAAAATACAAAAATTAATTGGGCATGGTGGTGGGTACCTATAGTCCCAACTATGCAGGAGGCTGAGGCAGGAGAATCGCTTGAACCTGGAAAGTGGAGGTTGCAGTGAGCCAAGACCATACCACTGCTCTCCAACATGGGCCACAGAGCAAGACTCTGTCTCAAAAAAAAAAAAAAAAAAACAAGATCATGTCTTTTGCGGGAACATGAAGGGAGCTGGAGGACATTATCCTTAGCAAACTAATGCAGGAAGAGAAAACCAAATACTGCATGTTCTCATCAGTGGGAACTAAGTGATGAGAACTCATGGACACAAATAGGGGAACAATTGACACCGGGGCCTACTTGAGGGTGGAGTGTGAGAAGAGGGAGAGGATCAGAAAAAAATAACTATTGAGTACTAGCCTTAGCACCTAGATGACAAAATAATCTGTGCAACAAAGCTCTATGATATGAGTTTACCTATATAACAAGTTTGCACATGGACTCCTCAACCTAAAATAAAAGTTTAAAAACACACAACAAAGATCGCAAAATAAAAAGTGTTGGCTAGGACATGGAGAAGTTGGAACCCTTGTGCACTGCTGGTAGGAATGTAAACTGGTTCAGCTGCAGTGGAAAACAGTATGGTAGTTCCTCAAAAAATTAAAAATTGGATTGCCACAGGATTCAACAATTCCATTCCTTTTTTTTTCTCCCCCGAGATGAAGTCTTGTTCTGTGGTCCAGGCTGGAGTGCAGTGGCATGATCTCAGCTCACTGCAACCTCCGCCTCCCAGGTTCAAGTAGCTCTCCTGCCTCAGCCTCCCGAGTAGCTGGGATTACAGGCACACACCACCACACTCAGCTAATTTTTGTATTTTTAGTATAAACTGGGTTTCCCCATTTTGGCCAGGCTGGTCTCCAACTCCTAACCTCATGATCCCTGCATCTCAGCCCCACCTGCCAAAGTGCTAGGATTATAGGCGTGAGCTACCACGCTCAGCCAGCAATTCCATTTCTTTTATGTTTATAGCAAAAGAATGGAAAGCAAGGTCTCAATATTTATACACCCATGTTCACAGTAGCATTATTCACAACAGCTAAAACGTGGAAGCAACCCAAGTGTCCATCAATGGAGAAACTGTTATTGAAAAATGTGGTATATATTATACAAATAATAGCCTTCTAAAGGAAGGCAATTCTGACACAAGCTACGACATAGATGAACCTTGAGGAACCTTGATGAACCTTGCTAAATGAAATAAGCCAGTCACAAAAAGACAAATACTGTATGATTCCATTTATGTGAAACTTTAAAGTAGTAAAATCAGAGAGACAGAAAATGGAATAGTGGTTGCTAAGCATGTGGGGAAAGTAGAAGGAGAGTTATTGTTTAATAGGTATAAGGTTTGTTTTGCAAGATGAAAAGAGCTACAGAGATGAATGGTGGTGATCGTTGTGCATTTTTTAATAACACATAACTGTATATTGAAAAATCGTTAAGATGGTAAAATTAAGGTTACATATGTCTTATCACGATAAAAAAAATTGAAAAAAAATAAAGAATAAACTTCTTTCTTTTCCTTTTTCTTTCCTTTTAGTAAATATAACAAGAACAGAGTCTGTACCAATTTAGCTAAGACCTTTTTCCATTTCTTTGGTTTCTTTGTTCCTTTTGCTCAAGAAATTGTTGGAATGTAAATGTCCTCCAAGCTTATGTAGATCAGTATCATGAAAATATACTCCTCCCAAGGCCTCTCAAACACCATTGTTAACAATAGTTTATTCATGTTTTTATCCAAAAAGTAAATAAATCAAAGTTTAGGAGCTGATTTTTCAATCTCCACAAGTTGCTTATAGTCCATAAAAATTGAGGAGATACACACACACACACACACACACACACACACACAAATCCAATCCTCTTCTCCCTAGCCCTAATGTTCTTCTTCCCACACCTAAATTATCTAACCCTGGAAGAAGCAAGAGTAAACCTATCAGAAACATTTAAGGAGCTTTTTCAAAATTCCCATATCCTGCTGCCCATCCCTACCCTATCTTGATATACTACCCAAATATTCTGGCAATGCCAGAATCTGGGTACTTTTTGTTTGCGGGGGTTTTTTGGAACAGGGTCTCACTCTGTCACCCAGGCTGGAGTGCACTGGCAGCATCATAGCTTACTGCAGCCTCAAATTCCTGGGCTCAAGCAATCCTTCTGCCTCAGCCTCCTGTGTAACTAGGATTACAAGTGCACACCACCACACCCAGTTGATTTTTTTATTTTTAGTAAAGATGGAGTCTCAACATGTTGCCCATGCTGGTCTCAAACTCTTGACCTCAAGTGATCCTCCTGCTTTGGTCTCCCAAAGCTCTGGGATTACAGGTGTGAGTCACTGCACCTGGCCTAACCTGGATAGCTTAAGAATCCATAGAGGGAAGAGGAAGAAAAGCAAGTAGACAAAAAGCAGGTTGTTGAAGGGTTACATTGACTTAGTTAAAATATAATTCAACAGGGTCTTATTCTCCAGCTCACCAATGCTCCCTTTCCCCAAAGTAATCTTTATATAATATTGACAGTCTGCTGGCATTATATAGATAAGCTCTAGTGGTCTCCACTACTGACCAGTTACACAGTGATCTAAGACAATTAGGCAATTGATGAACACAGCAATTGGCAGGTTCTCTTCATAAATAGCCATAGCCCCCACTAAAAGTTAGAGGTAGGTCAAACATCTCACATGACAGATTCACTCTGAGTAGACCCAAAAGCCTGATCGCAGAACCATCTACCCTTCTATAATAGCTGGGCCACTGATAGCAACCTCACCGAGGAGAGTACTCAGAACCAATAGCGCTCCACACCTGGGAGGCTACTGCCATTATTGCTTGCTGGATTCCTCCACCTTCCTTGGATGAGGTTCATAAAGCAAGTGTAACCTTTCTAGTCAACCACCTATCTTATTTCTAACATCCACTATGCCAATGAACAAACCTTAAAATAGACTCTTGCAAAATTATTTGAAATGTGTAGGTAACCAAGTTTGAAGTGTGGATTCATGATTTGGATTCTTCAAATGCTAATGAACCACATCTAGAGTGCAAGTTGATGCTACCTAGAGTATAGAAAAAAGTTAACTTACATTTAAATACATCATACAGTTTACACTAAATTTCTCAAGCATTTTCAGGTAAATTACCACATACAAAGCAGAACATAGACAAAGACCAAACTCCTTAGGATGGGCTCTTAGCTCTTTTCAGGTATCCCCTGCTTCATCTTTGCCATCCCTTCCCCAATATTCACATACACAGATTCACATATACCCTATACCAAACACAGCAAGCTGCTCCCTGCTCTCAAATGTGACAGCTATGTTTCAGGCTGCTCCATGTGCTGCTCTTACCTCCCTCTTCCCCATCTGACCAACTTCTGCCAAGACCTACCTGAAATGCTTCCTATTCAGGATCCTTTGGGAACCCCTTCCTTTTCAACCCTGTGGAGTTGGTCACTCCCCTTCCACATTGTAACGGCATCTTGTGTAATACACTCGTGATGGCATTGTGCCATGTCCCTCGCTGGACAGTGCATGTCACAAGCACCATGACTTGCTGTCTTTGGACCTCTGTTACAGCACACCAGGCACATAAGGAAAGGCAGAGACCTTCCTAAGAGTTCTCACCAAAAGCATGTCTCAAAGGCAATTAAATCTGTTGCTTATACATTGTCCTTCCTAGGCAAGAAATTCTTAAAATTTCTGAAGTCATGAAACCCCAATGTTCTTAATGTTATTGTACAGCCCTTTTTACCTGGTGATGTGGTTCGGATGTTTGTCCACTCCCAAATCTCACGTTGAATGTGTTTCCCAATGTTGGAGGTAAAACCTGGTGGGAGATGATTGAATCATGGGGGCAGATTTCTCATGAGTGGTTTAGCACCATCTCTTTGGTGATAAATAAGTTCTCACTCTAAGTTCACGTGAGATCTGGTTGTTTAAGTCTGTGTGTGGCACCCCCTGCCTCTCTCTCACTTGCTCCTACTCTCACCATGTGATGTCCCTGTTCCTACTTCACTTTATTCCCTTATATAAATTTCCTGAAGCACTCACCCAGAAGCAAATGCTGGTGCCACACTGGTACAGCCTGCAGAACCACGAGCCAATTAAACCTCTTTTCTTTATAAATTACCCAGACTCAGGTATTTGTTTATAGAAACACAACAATGGCCTATAAACATGCTTAGGTTCTAAAAGTTATTCATGGATTTTAAGCATTGAAAAATGTGAGTTGAATTCAAAGAACAGGTATAGAGAACTAACAGAGAATTTCACTTTAGCACTTAATATAACTAGTCACCTAGTGTAAAAAATCTCTGTGCTGGGCAAGCCTTATTGTATAATGTTTTCTGGTGCTACATCCTTCTGTATCGGTTAAGTTCTGGAAAATGAAACTGTTTTTTTAAAAAAAAACTAATTTTATCCCAGAAAGATCTGGGAAATCCTCCAAGACTCCCTTTTAAGAGTAGGACCTGAAATCTATCATTAGAAAAAGGTTCTACTTTTTCTTATCAGATAAATTGACATTAAGTTTACTTAATGGTAGGTCATGGCCTTCTTCTGGAAGACTAATAATCATCAATTATATTATAGTTAGCTTACTTTGAAAGCAAGGTAGCCTTACTTTCTCACAAAGTTTTTGTGAAGAATTATAAAATGTATGTGAAAATCTTTTCTATACAGTAACATCCTCCGTAAATTTAAGGTCTACCGTAACCACTCTATTACTACTAATAGTGTACATACCAAGTAATAGCAGTAGTACTGCTAATAATAGCAAGAAGGCAGTGACTAAGTCCTATTTAGTTTAGCTGCTTTTTCATCTTGGATAAAAACTTTCCATTGGCTGGGCACAGTGGCTCACGCCTGTGATCCCAGCATTTTGGGAGGCCGAGGCAGGTGGATCACTCGAGGTTAGGAGTTTGAGACCAGCCTGGCCAACATGGTGAAACCCTGTCTCTACTAAAAATACAAAAATTAGCCGGGTGTGGTGGCACACACCTGTAATTCCAGCTACTTGGGAGGCTAAGGCAGGAGAATTGAACCAGGGAGGCAGAGGTTGCAGTGAGCCGAGATCACACCACTGCACTCCAGCCTGGGCAACAGAGCAAGACTCTATCTCAAAAAAACAAACAAACAAACAAAAAAAAACTTTCCATCACACAGAGGCTCCCAAAAAATGAAATGTAGATTTTAAAAGAGACATCAAAGAAGGATGGCCATCTAAATACGCCAGGGAAACAGTTACGCATTGGAGATAATTTTCCAACACGGAGATCTTTGGATCTGGCATCCTCAGTAACATTTCTTAATCTTCAGTTCTGCAGTAATATTCTATGAGATATGAACTATTAATAATAAGCGATAAACAGTTTTTTCTAAACAATCCTATAGCTAACATACCACATGCCATCATGCTGTTCCTTTGTTGGTTTTTATTTTGTTTTAATGAATGCCTTGAATGCTATGTAACTTAGAATGCACATATTAAAATCACTCCAAATATCACTAACAGAAACTCACCTCAAACTATATTCAGAATAAGCACTTTACAGGAGCAAAGAGTTTTCACTTTAACTTGTCATTATTCTGATGTTAAGAGCAGAAAGAGAGAAACAGAAAATGTGTGTATGCCAAATTTCTTGAATCCCTAAGCCTCACAATTATTTTGCCCTATTCAAAAATCAAGGCAATTGTAGGTGTGGTGGCTCACACCTATAATCCCAACATTTTGGGAGGGAAAGGTGGGAGGATTGCTTAAACCAGTGAGTTCGAGGTCAGTCTGGGCAACATAACCAGATCCTGTTTTTATTTTTTAAAAAAATCTAAAATCTAAATAATAGAGCATGTTTGCTAAAAGAGGGTACTTATTTATCAAATATTACTAAAATGTTAATGTAATTAAGCAGTGCTTATTTTTATTTTTATCTTACGTCAAATAATATTGATAATAATAACTATTAAAATCATTCTATGCAGCAAGTAAAAGAAATGGTATATGTGAGATACGTAGCAAGTGAATGATATTTAACATTTTTTTTTATCTAAAATGAAATTATGTAACAGCTCATTGTGCCTCAAAGCTTTTTCATTGTAAAAATGTTGTGGCACCTATGAAAATACTTCTAGCCACATATATATACATACATATATGCATACATATATACATGTGTGTATCTCGAAGTGTTCCATATACATATGCTACAGTATTTAAGCCAGGTTCATAGAATGTTGTATAAGCTTCTAAAAGACTCAAAGCATAGGAATAAAGACTTTCTCCAGGTCATTTTTCAAGGTTAACAATGTGCTTTTCAAAACAGGCCCTTGACATTCTTCTAATTGTTAGAAATAAAAACCTATTGTTACTTGCTTTTGAAAAAGAAACACTTATCCATTTCCATCAATGAAGTTAAAAGCAGTATCACATTCACTTGTTGCATTTAGCACCTTTCTTTTTAAGTAGTTCAAAATTTTAAAATCCAAAAGTACTAAGGGGGATTCACAGCAATGGCAGAGTGAAGTCAGCATATCCTTTTCCCAAAACAACCATAAAATTGGGCAAGGCTAGGCATGATGATTCACAACTACAGTCTCTGCACTTTGGGAGGCTGAGGTGGGAGGTTACCTAGTAAGGTGAGGAGTTTGAGACCAGCCTGGGCAACAAAGCAAGACTCCATCACCACCAAAAAACAAACAAACAAACAAACAAACAAAACTAGTAGGCTCAATGGCTCATGCCTGTAGTCCCAATTACAAAGAAGGAACATGTTCACATCTGTGACTAAGAAAGGCTTAACAGAAAAAAGCAGTAGTTGAAACAAGCCTTGAGACAGTAAATGGGATTTTGACAGTGGAAAATGAAGGAAGGACATCTCAAGAAAGGTCAAGACGAGGTGTTTTCTGTCTGACAAAAGCATAGAGTTCAACTGTTTGGAAACTTTTTCTACCATAATACAATTTACGAACATTTCCTATGCCAGCCTACAGTGCCTAGTCCTATGGGAGCAACCAAAAGCAGAAAAAAGATAAGTGGCTTGACGTGGCAGCTCATGTCTGTAATTACAACACTTTGGGAAGCCAAAGCAGGAGGATCACTTAAGGCCAGGAGTTCAGGAAAACCTTTAATCCACTTTAATAATCTCCTTGCTTTAATATCATTTTTAGTCAAAAATTGTTTGCTACATACCCCACAATGAATGGTAATAACAGATTAAGAACCACGCCAAGGCGGGTGGATCATGAGGTCAAGAGATCGAGACCATTCTGGTCAAAATGGTGAAACCCCGTCTCTACTAAAGATATAAAAAAATTAGCTGGGCATGGTGGTGCGTGCCTGTAATCCTAGCTACTCAGGAGGCTGAGGAGGAGAATTGCCTGAACCCAGGAGGCGGAGGTTGCAGTGAGCAGAGATCGTGCCATTGCACTTCAGCCTGGGTAATGAGCAAAACTCCATCTCGAAAAAAAAAAAAAAAACCCACAAATGTAGGCCAGGCACAGCGGATCACGCCTGTAATTCCAGCACTTAGGGAAGCCAAGGTTGGTGGATCACAAGGTCAGGAGTTCAAGACCAGCCTGGCCAACATGGTGAAACCCCATCTTTACTAAAAATATTTTTTTTTAATTAGCCAGGCATGATGGTGGGCACCTGTAATACCAGTTACTGAGGAGGCTGAGGCAGAGAATTACTTGAACCCAAGAGGCAGAGGTTCCAGTGAGCCGAGATCGTGCCACTGCACTCCAGCCTGGGCAACAGAGCAAGACTCCCATAATATGTATTTGTTAGTCTGAATTTGAAGAAAACCTTGATTACTAATTACTTAGGGAACATTATTAAAATCATATAGAAATAAATTTTTAAAAAAGAGAACCACGAATGTGATGGGAAGTAAAGGTGAAAAATATTGGTCAGAGCCATCCCTGAGTACAAACAGAGGCATTTATACAGTAAAGAGAAATGATACAGGCTGCCATTGAGAAGACTGCTCTGGAAGTGTTGAGAAAGGATATAGTACAGTTAGGAAGTTATTGCAAAAGTCCCATTTAGTTAGGGGTAATAGATGCCTAAATCAAGATGGTACTGGGGAAAGATGATAGAATTTAAAACATGGCAAAAATAGAAGATAAGCTTTGTGAGGCCATAGGCCTGACATGTCACTATCTCTACTGGTCTCTAGCTTAATACATACTTGTTGAATGAATAAACAAGAGCTTGGTGGTGAGGTGGTGTATTATAATGGTGAAGCCAGATTGCTTGGGTTCTTGCACTTACTAGCTCTATGATCTTAGACAAGTTACTTGATCTCGATGCCTCAGTTTTTCCATCTATAAAATGGGGCTAATAATAGAGTCTACATTATAGGGTAGTTTTGAGGTTCAAATGGGGTCACTATACAAAGTGCTCAGAAAAGTGCCTGATACATATAGGTATGTATCAGTTATCATTTTTATTTGTGAAACGTTGTACCTTTAATAGAACTTCAGATGTGAAAAATATAGTTCTGGGGGAAGAGCAATCGACAGCACTGACAGTGTTAAATTGATCGGGCAGTGAAGATATCGGATAGTGTAGACTGGGGGCTTGGGAGAAAGGACCTGGTGAGAGACAGAGATCTGACTCCGGCCACTTCCTTCTGCTCCCCACAGCCTTCCCAGTCACACTAGCTTCCTGCAGTTCCTCCAACAGATCTTTTTATTTCCTGCCTCCTTCCCACTGCTGTTGCCTCAACTTGGAAGGGCATAGAGCCTGGATTTAACAAATATTTGCTTAATGATTCAGTAGATGATATTGGAACTCTTTTAAGGGGAGTAAATGTTAAATCCTTGAGAATGTATGAGACTGCCACAGAAGAAAGTATGCAGAAAGAAAAGGTGTCAGTACAGAAGAGTCAGCAAATAACTGTGCAAGAGCACATTCAGAGCGTAACCAGGATAACTGCAGACACGTTCCAGGAGACAGGTAACACTCAATGCTCAGCGGAGGCAAACGGTGAAGAATGAAAGAATCACTGGGTTTGGCAATAATTTCAGGAAAGAAAGTTGAGGAAAATTTTCCATGAGGTTGCGCGGGGGTAGGGAGATAGAAGTCAGATAATTAAGCAAAAGAAGTCAACTAATACAGACTATTTTATTAAAAGGTTCAAGGAAGAGAAGCCAATCTCCTTCTACCAGAAAGTAGGGAAACAACCAGAGAGAAGCAAACTGCGGCACAGTGAATAAAAACATGGGGCTACATTCTAAAGGCGCTGTGCATCTCTATCAGCAGAGTTTTGACAGGTTCCCAGTGCTTTTCACACGCACTATCTTATCTGATCGTACCCCAGCTCCCTGATGATACACCCTCTAACTGAGGGGTTCCCAAGGTGTGGTCCGTAGACCAGCTGCAGCATCACAGAGAACTTGTTGGAAAGGCACATTCATGGGCTCCACACCAGGCCTACAGAATCAGAAACTGCGGGTGGGGCCCAGCAATCTGTTCTAACAAGTCCTCCAAGGGATTCTGATGCTCTCCAAGTCTCCACTGCCATCACACTTGGGAGACGACCGCTGCAGAGCGCGGTGGCCGCGGCTGGAGGGCAGAATTGCCTCTTCTGAACCCTCGGCTTGTGTCCTCCTCGCTCCTAAGGGAGGCAGTGAACGAGACAGCCCCTCAGAGCAAAGTCGTCCCGCTAGGGACTCAGCCGGAGCGAGTTCCGCCCACCCCAGCCGGGGCGGAGGCGAGGTGTGGTTTCCTTCCCCAAGCCACGCCCCCGGACCCGCCCCTAGCATCCGCCCCCGCCCTCCGGTTTCGACTTCCGGCGCTGGAGGAGGGGGCCGGTAGGGAGGGATTCGTCCAACTCTGAGACCGGCGCGGGGCGGCTTTGCTCTTCCAACCCCTCCGTGTGTTAACAGGGCAGAAGACGCAGCGGCGGAAGAAAAATAAGCTAGTCTAGGACAGGTATCCAGGCGACGTGGAACCCAGTAAGGGAAGAAAGAAGCCTTGAAACGTCTCTCCCTTCCCCTGTTTCGGTCCCTCACCTTAACCCGCGCGGAATGGAAAAGGCAGAGGCGCTCGGCCAAGATCTAGGCGGGCCGCCGGGGTGGGGCCAGGGGAAGAAATCTCGCGATAGGAGAGCGGTCCGGGCGGGGGTGGCACCTCTCCCCGCTCCTCCTGGCGTTAGTTCCGGTCGCAGAGGAGACACCGCCGCAGTTGCAGCTACATTGGGGATTTCTGGCTCTTTGCTCTTCGCCTTAAATTCGGTGAGGCGCGGCGCCCGGCTTAACCCGAGCCGACATTGCAGGCCGTCGACACTGGGCAGAGGGCGAGTGAGGCAGCGAGCTGGATGCGGCCCAGCTAGGATGGGTCCGAGCGGAGGCCGCCTCTCGAGGCCCGGCCGGATCCTGGGCCTGAAAGGCTGCCGCTTCGGCAGGGAGGCCGAGGGGCGGCAGTGGCCGGGTCGGGAAGTGGGGTCAGGGTGCGCGCCGCGGCGCCGGCGGCGAAGGCCGTGGCCGAGGAGGCCCCCTCTGGGCGCTTCCTGGTCTGGGTAACAAAGCCACCGCGGCCTCTGTTGGGTGGTATACGCGTGGAGGCTTCCGCCGGGAGGGGCAAAGGGGCCACCAACACCACTGCGGCCACCGTCTCCGCCGCTGCTTTCGCTGGAGGGCGGGCGGATGTACGGGGCGGCTGGGGCCCCGGAGCGAAGCGCCTCAGCGTCTGTGGTCCGTTCGTTGCGTCGGCCGCCACCGCAGGCAACAGGGTTAGTAGAGAAGGAGCCACGGCACCCTACGGCGCCCCGCTGTGGCCAAGGGAGTCCTGGGCAGGAGGCTAGGGTGTGGAGAGGGAGACACGTGCCCGGGGAGGAGGCTGGGACTGTGGGATATGGGCGAAGGAGGCTAGGCTGGTTGCTCTCTGTTAGTTTTGCAGGCTTGAGTGGTGCAAGGCGGCGGTCACAGGCATGATCTAGGGTAGGATGGTGCTGCTCATAACCAGGCCTGTCAGAAGGAAGGGGTTCACCTTTTGAGTGTTTTAGAATTGGCATACATGTTTTGGAAGCCTCTTGACTATGGTGGTAATCTGCGTTCTGCGCTTCTTAGTGGTCGTGGAAGATGTAAGTGAATGTAAAGAGGAATGTGGAGGAAACTGAGCAATTAGGTTTAGGATGGGTCATCAGTGTAGCACTGTAATGTCGCTTAAAAGTGTAGTTCACAGCACTAATTTAAAGAGTTTCTTGTAGAGAAAAATGCAGATTTTGACGTTCTGTTTGATTAAAGTGAAGGTAATTCTTTGTGCCTGCACCGGGTATAATTGGAAGCTGAGAGTGCGTGTTCCATTCGATTCATGTGTGACTAGACTAAGGTTTGATGCTTTGTTTTAAAAATGAGTATTATGGCACTGATATTAAGGCTTTATTACTCCTTTCCTAGGGTGTCTTTTATGAATAATCAAAAGCAGCAAAAGCCAACGCTATCAGGCCAGCGTTTTAAAACAAGAAAAAGAGGTAAACATTTATGTTTTAATGTCTCTCTCCAAACTTCCAGAATATATTGTGTTTCTTGCCTCCTGTTATAGGCACTTGCATAGTACTAAAGTCTCAATAGAAGATACCAGAAAGTAACTTAAATTTCTCATTGACTGCCATTTCAGATACACCTTTAATATTTCTACTGCTTTCTCAAGCCTTAATTTTTAGTAAGAATATATCTCTAAGCTGGTTAGTGAATCTTTTTAGTGTGAAGGTAAAGTACTTTTTTAAAACAAAAATAAGGGCTCTGTTTTCACTAGCAAGCAGTCTCATTTCAGCAAACTTAAATGAGCAAAAATGTTAGTTTATAAAAGGAAAGCTCCTAATGTAGTCACCCAGATTTTGTGAAAATTTGTGAGAAAACTCAAGACTTCACCCATGGACGTTAATTATGGAACAGGATTTACATTGTAATGTCTTTCAAAATACAGACTTAGTAGGGAAAATATTAGAATTATATTACTACTTTTTTGCATTAGTGTGTACTTAGGTGAATATTGAATTCTGTAGCAAAGTGCTGTACTAATGATACAAAGTTAAATAAGATGTGGTCTCATATTTTTAACGTTTTTGCTCAAATGCACTTTAACCTTATTTTATAGGAGGTTTTGAGGAAATGAAGAACTGGGTCAGCTATTGGTTAGAAGTTGTGTTTTTCTTTTTCTGCCTTAAGTAGCAGACATTTTGAGATATATATGGTAGAATTTTATAATCACTAATCATAGGCTGTCTGTCCCCTTGGAGTGGTGGTGGGGAAACCAAAGTGTGATTTGATTCTAATCTTTGCAGATTCGTTTAGATTTAGCTGGTAAATTTTCTTAAGGAGCTGGAGTTGTAAACTAGAGCAATTTGTCAGTAAAAGGGGAAAGTCTATATCTCTTGAATATGTGGATTATTGATGTTACCTTGATATAAATAATAGCAAGTAGCTTTATCATTATTATTAGCATCAGAGAGAGGTATCACTTCTGTAGTTCCATATAAAGATCATTCATGGCCTGGCTATTGATGATTAGGGTCCTGGGTAGGGTATGCAACAAGCCCTGTTTTTCTGGGACTGAGGGAGTTTCCAGACACAAGACTTTGAGTGCTAAAACCGGAAAAGCGCTGGGCAAACAGAGGTATTTGTTACCCTAGTACTGTGTGAAAATTAAGATATCATCTACTCTAGATTGGGAAAGCAAAACCCTATTACGGAGTTTGTGAAAGCAACTTAGTTACAGGTTGGCGATGTGCACTAGGCCGTGGCCTGAGTGCTTTTTATATTATTAATGTCATTTAGTATTTACAACAACTTTATGGGATAAGTACTATTATTATTTTTTTTTTTGAGAGTGTCTCCCTCTGTTGCCCAGGCTGGAGTGCAGTGGTGTGATCTCAGCTCACTGCAACCTCTGCCTCCCTGGTTCAAGTAATTCTCCTGCCTCAGCCTCTTGAGTAGCTGGGATTACAGGAGTGAGCCACCACACCCGGCCTTGGATAGGTACTATTCTTACCCACATTTTATAGTAGGGGAATTCTGTCACGGAGAATGAGGCTGTTTGCTCGAATTCAGATGGTTAAATGGATATCAGGATTTGAATTGGAGAGTTTTAACTCCAGACCCCATGCTCTGAATTACTATACAGTATACTCTCCGCAATTTCTCTCTGTTTTTTTCCTTCTGAATAATAGGGGGAAATGTCTGCCTCATAAGGTTAACAGGATTAATATAGTTTCTGTCATAATGGGTGCTCATTATATGTACTTTCTAAAGCTCACCTTCATAAATGCCTAATTAATGGTTCAATTTTTTTTTTCTTTTTAGTATTATGGACATTTAAAAAGAAGGATCAAGAGCTCCAGTGTGTGGGCAAAACTCAAAGGAATAAAATTTACCTGTTAGAGGATGGCCTAAATTTCGGAAAAGCCATGAGGCGAAGGGTGTTCCCAGTAGAAATTGCCTCATGGCAGTAGGAGCACAAGACGCTAGCACATTGAGCTCACTTGTGAAATTGAAAGTTGCACAATTCTTATGAGTGGGCCATCCATCCTATCTTGTACTTTCAGCGGGGAAACATGCAAAGGATGTGAATTTAATCTTAACTTACTTAGCACTTACAGCTTCACAAGGTGATAGTTTTGTGGCATTTTGGTAAATCTTTTAAAACTATTGTTTTGGGTCTCCTGTCCCTCCAGATGAAAAAGAGAGGTTTGATCCTACTCAGTTTCAAGACTGTATTATTCAAGGCTTAACTGAAACCGGTACTGATTTGGAAGCAGTAGCTAAGTTTCTTGATGCTTCTGGAGCAAAACTTGATTACCGTCGATATGCAGAAACACTCTTTGATATTCTGGTGGCTGGTGGAATGCTGGGTAAGTGTCTGGGGTTTGTGGGCTTAATAATTTAGAGGAGTACAATGTATGGAGACTATGGAGACTCTAGAATATGAACTATTTGGCAAACTTGTTAAAATGGGGTGATTTATTTGGTTGTGTTGTATTTTGGTTTTATCCAACTTTAGCCCCAGGTGGTACACTGGCAGATGACATGATGCGCACAGATGTCTGTGTGTTTGCAGCCCAAGAAGACCTGGAGACCATGCAAGCATTTGCTCAGGTAAATGAAACTTAACATAATTGTTTTTAGTTAGCTTCTATCCATATGATACGTTTGAAGAATATTCCACTTTTAAGAGTTGCAGGTAGAAAGTTGAAGAAATTTGATTTTAAATTTTAGAGATACTGTTCTTGGTGCAGCAGGATAAATTAGAAAAAGGTGTGTTAAGGCAAACAAAATAGGGAAAAATTAAATTAAATCTCCTTTTCCTACTTGTCCTGGAAATTGCTCAATTTTTAAGAAAAATGTCAAGCTGAAAATGAAAGTTCTGTATTGTGATTTCCTGGTTTATCTGCATATATTTATTTTTAAAGATACGAGTTGTGGGCTTATTATTAGCTTGTTAATCAGGATCTCTTCTTCTATATAAGAGTGAAGACAAGAAAGAGAGAGGAGAGAGAGAGAGATCTCATAGGAAAGTTTCATATGTAGTTATGTTTGTATTACTGTAAGCAAAGAAAGTACATCTAACCTGGACATTTTTATGTGTCACTAGGAAATGTAGAATTGTATTTATGATGTGTTCTGTTCGTGTCCTGCAAATGGGTAAATGGCTTATATTTGAGCAATAATTAGTCCTTGTTTCATACACAGCAATAAAAATCTGTTGGGAGGTGGTTGCCAATAGTATTGGTGAAATTTAAGAATTGACAAACTCTTCTCAAGCTGGTTCAAGCTGGTTTAAACAGTTCATAAACTTATATCCAGTGAAAGGTTTACTACTTTGCTCTTCTAGAAATATATGAAGTTACTGAATTCATTTAATGTTTTTGATAGGTTTTTAACAAGTTAATCAGGCGCTACAAATACCTGGAGAAGGGTTTTGAAGATGAAGTAAAAAAGGTATGAGGAATAGTGTACTTTGTGGAAAAGAAAAAATTAGGATTAGAAAGAAGAATGTTAAATCCTAATTCTGTCATGGATTTGGGGTGATTTTGTTTGGTTGGTTGGTTTTTTGAGTTGGAGGCTCGGTCTGTGTCCCAGGCTGGAGTGCAGTGGCTCAGTCTCAACTTGCTGCAGCCTTCGCCTCCTTGGTTCAAGCGATTCTTGTGCCTCAGCCTACCAAGTAGCTGGGATTACAGGCATGTGCCACTGTGCCTGGCTGAATTTTGCATTTTTAGTAGATACAGGGTTTGACCATGTTGGCCAGGCTATTCTTGAACTCCTTGCCTCAAGTGATCTGCCCTTGGCCTCCCAAAGTGTTGGGATTACAGGTGTGAGCCAACACTCCTGGCCCAATATTACATATAGATAGACGGAAGACCTGATATTTTTATCAAGGACCAGGCACTGTTCAAATAATATTAATTCACTTAATATTTATAAAAACCCTGTGAGGCAAGTTTTATTACCCACATTTTATATATGAGGTGCAGAGGTTAAGTAACTTGCCCAAGATCATTCAGCTAATAAGTATTATAACTGAGATGTAAACTTGGATGGTTAGACTTCAGAACCCACGTATTGAATCAGTAACCAGTATAACATGCTTTACTGCTTCTCTTAATGTAGTGCAATTGCTGTTTTAACCCTTAACTGTTTTACTTCTTACAGCTGCTGCTGTTCTTAAAGGGTTTTTCAGAGTCAGAGAGGAACAAGCTGGCTATGTTGACTGGTGTTCTTCTGGCTAATGGAACACTTAATGCATCCATTCTTAATAGCCTTTATAATGAGAATTTGGTTAAAGAAGGTAATTGACCTTAAAGGATGGTCTTTAGTTGACTCAGTGGGGTGGATAAGAGCATGGTTTACTGTTCATAGATGGGACTTGTGTGGTAGTCTTCGTTTACTAACCAGCTTTAAATTTAGTAAGTTTGTTCTAACTCACTAGACATTTAATGAATACCTTTGGCATCCAGGTTTAATGGCTTTCTTTAGGCATACAACAGATACCCAGGTTTAGACAAAATGTTATATGCAATGAAAATAAAATGAGAAATGCTGTGGGAACCCCAAAAGAGATTAATACCAATTGGGAGACTTGAGATGATCTTTAGTGAAGAAAATGATATTGGGGAAAATGTCAAGCTAGAAGGGAAAATCAATTCCCTATTTGGCTTCAATTGTCAGATTGTTCTGTATAGTAATTTTTTTGAAGCTAACTTTTTTTAAAAAACTGCTTAAGAGTACTGAGTATCTAAGTTGCCTTACTGTAATTCTCACAACAGTTTTGTCAAGTGTAGAGACTGTTGTCCTCAATTTACACTTTAGAAAACACTTCTAAGTAATTTGGCCAAGAATATACAACTTGCAAGTGGTAGACTATGGAAGTTGGAGAAGTGATAAACTGTGGCCCGGGAAAGTTCAGGGTTAAGTTTGTGGGGAAAGTCGGTAATTCCATGTGATTGAACTATGAAGGGAAGGATATAGGGGATACAGTGATTGAAACCAGGAAGGTACTTTTGTTAATTAAGCTATTTTCTTTTGCAGGGGTTTCAGCAGCTTTTGCTGTAAAGCTCTTTAAATCATGGATAAATGAAAAAGATATCAATGCAGTAGCTGCAAGTCTTCGGAAAGTCAGCATGGATAACAGACTGATGGTTTGTAACTTTTTTATTTCTTCCCATTCTGGCCAAAAGATGTAAGTGAGAGAAATTTCTCATTTTTAAGACTGGAAAGAAAGTGTTTTTCTTAATCTGATTTAAAGAAACTTTAACTAGATTAAATTCTCCTTTTAGGAACTGTTTCCTGCCAATAAGCAAAGCGTTGAACACTTCACAAAGTATTTTACTGAGGCAGGCTTGAAAGAGCTTTCAGAATATGTTCGGAATCAGCAAACCATCGGAGCCCGTAAGGAGCTCCAGAAAGAACTTCAAGAACAGATGTCCCGTGGTGATCCATTTAAGGATGTAAGTTTTTTGTTTAAACCGTCTTTTTACAGCTAAGCTTCTGGCATATTTTCACTAATCTGAGGAACTTATTTCACCAGGGTGAGATTGAGTTAATAGTAACAGTGTTTTACTTGAACTTTGCCTCGGTCTTGCATATGCTTTTTCAGTGCCTGACCGAGGCCCAGAAATGTAAGAGACTGGAGCTCAAGACACCTTTCAGTTGTAAAGATCTCTTTTCATATGTGGTACAGATGCGGTTGTTGCCAGGTGCATGGGAGTCATTATGTTTTTGTTAAAGGTCTAAACTTGATGTATGAAGTATGTACATATCAAAACTGACTTCTGTTACTAAATTTGGATTCTTTTGCAGATAATTTTATATGTCAAGGAGGAGATGAAAAAAAACAACATCCCAGAACCAGTTGTCATTGGAATAGTCTGGTCAAGTGTAATGAGCACTGTGGAATGGAACAAAAAAGAGGAGCTTGTAGCAGAGCAAGCCATCAAGCACTTGAAGGTATTAGAACTATGCCTTGACAAAACAAACTATTCTACTTTTATGTGGGGATAAGTGAACTGTGACCAACTATACTTTTCTAAGAGGAATTACCACATCCTGTGGTTCCTGGGTATGGCCCACCAGTAAATAGACAAATAGTAACATTAACTATTGATGATGATGCTCTGAATTGGGCTGTGGTTCACAGGTTAAAACAAGAACATGGCCAAGCACAATGGCTCACACCTGTAAACCCACCACTTTGGGAGGCCAAGGCGGGAGGATTGCTTGAGCTCAGTTTGATACCAGCCTGGGCAACATAGTGAGACCTTATCTCTACTAAAAATCACAAAAATTAGCAAGTCATGGTGACACATGCCTGTAGTCCCAACTACTCAGGAGGCTGAGGCAGAGGATCACTTGAGCCCTGGAAATCAAGACCGCAGTGAGCTTATGATGGCTAATGGTTTTGTCAGACAGAGCCTTGGTAAAAGGGTGAGATCCTGTCTCTCTTTTTTTTGGGGGGGGGGAGGAAGGCAGGAAGGGAGGGAGAAAGGAAGGAAGGGAGGAGGCGGGGGAGGGAGGGAGGGAAGAGAAGGAAGGAAATCAAGCAATGAGAGAGACATTGCCAACCTGGATCTAGAGGTTTACAAGTTGATTTTTTTTTTTTTCTTTTTTTTTTTTTTTTTTGAGAGAAGGAAAGAAAAAAAAATGAGTAAAGGAGAGGAAGAAAGAGGGAGGGTGAACGGAAATACTGCTTTATTCTGAAAAAAAAAATGGGTATTAATAATGGCCAATGTTTCATTTAAACCTATGAGTAGGTGTGATGTGGTATTGACAAGAATGTATATTTTGTGTATTTGAAGTGGAGAACTCTGTAAATATTTATTAAGTTTATTTGTTCCGGATCTGAGTTTGAGTCCTTGATATCCTTATTAATTTTCTGTCTCATTGAATCTAAGTCTCTATGTATCTGGGTGTTAGGAACGTTAGCTCTTGTTGTTGCATTGATCCTTTTCCCACTATATCTTTGTTGCTTTAAAATCTATTTTATCCGATACAAGAATTGCAACTCCTGCTTTTTTTTTTTGCTCTCCATTTGGTTGGTAAATCTTTCTCCATCCCTTTGTTTTGAGTCTTTGTGTATCCTTGCATGTGAAACAGGTCTGAATGTAACATGCCATTGGGTTTTGGCTGTGTCTTTTGATTGGGGGATTTAGTCGATTTAAATTTAGGGTTACTGCCATTTGATGTTAACTGGCTGTTTTATCCATTCGTTGATGTAAATTCTTCTTTATGTTGGTGCTGTTTACTTTTTGGTATATTTTTAGAAAGTCTAATACTGGTTGTTTCTTTTCTGCGTGTAATGCTTCTTTCAGAAGCTCTTGTAAAGCAGGCCTGGTGGTAATAAAATCTCTGAGCACTTGCTTGTTCATAAAAGATTTTAATTTTCCTTCAGTTGTGAAGCTTAGTTTGGCTAGATATGAAATTCTGGGCTGAAGGTTCTGTTCTTTGAGGATGTTGAATATTGGCCCCCACTCTCTTCTGGCCTGTAGAGTTTCTGCAGAGAGATCTTCTGTAAGTCTGATAGGCTTGCCTTTGTGGGTAACCTGACCTTTCTCTCTGGCTGCCCTTAGTAATTTCTCCTTCATTTCAACCCTGGTGCATCTAACGATTATGTGCCTTGGGGTTGCTCTTCTTGGGGAATATCTTTGTGGTGTTCTCTGTATTACCTGGGGTTGAATATTGACCTGCTTTGCTAGTTTAGGAAAATTTTCCTGAATAATATACTGAAGGGTATTTTCCAGCTTGGATTCATTCTCTCCTTCGCATTCAGGTACACCTATCAAACGTAAATTTGGTCTTTTCACATAGTCCCACATTTCTTGGAGACTTTGCTCATTCCTTTTTATCCTTTTTTCTCTAATCTTGTCTTCTTCTTTTATTTCATTAAGTTGGACTTTGACTCTGATATCCTTTCTTCTGCTTGAACAATTTGAGTGTTTAAACCTGTGCATACTTCTCGGAGTTCCTGTATTGTATTCTTCAGTTCCATTAATTCACTTATATTCCTCTCTAAGTTGTCTATTCTCAATAGGATTTCATCAAACCTTTTTTCAAAGTTCCTAGTTTCTTTACGTGGGGCTACAACATGTTCTTTTAATTCACAGAAGTTTCTTATTATCCATTCCCTGAAGCATGATTCTGTTACTGGGATGTGCTCGTTCTCCATCAAGCCTTGTTCCATTGTTGATGTGGAACTGTGATCATCGTTAGAGGGAGAGACGTTCTGATTTTGAGTATTCTCAGCCTTTTTACGCTGGTTTCTTCCCATCATTGTAAATTTATCCTCCTGTCGTCTTTGAAATTACCAACTTTCAGATTAGGTCTCTTGAATGGACGTCAAAGTTGTTAGTTCCCAGGGCCAGAACAGTGGCGTTAAGACTGATGGTGCTTTTCTGCCCAGGATTCTCCTGTCTGGCTTCCTTCTTGTGTCTGTAATAGGCGACTCTGCCTTCCCGGGGCTCCAAACCTCGGTCAGAAGGGGAACCAGTCTCGTTTACTCTGCACCAAGAGCTGCCGCACCAAGGTGCCGTCACAGCCGCTGCACCGGCCTCAGGAGTCATGCTGGGGGGACCCATGTGGGTCCTCCAAACCTCGGTCAGAAGGGGTGCCAGCCCTGTTTACTCTGCTCCGAGAGCTGCAGCGCCGAGGTGCCGGCGAAACCGCTGCGCCAGCCACAAGAGTTGCGCTGGCGACTCGTGTGACCCCTCCACTGGGGATCTTCTTCGTGAGCGACCAGAATTTGTCTGAAAGTGTGGCGTCCTCTAGTTCTCTGTGCCCTCACTGAGAGCTGCAATCCCGAGATGTTAGCAATCGGCCATCTTGGATCGTTCCCTTTTTTCTTTTCTTTTTTAAATAAAGATGGGGTTTCACCATGATGGCCAGGCTGATCTTGAACTCCTGACCTCAGGTGATCCAGCCACCTTGGCTTCCCAAAGTGCTAGGATTACAGGCGTGAGCCACTGTGCCCAGCCGAGATCCTGTCTCCAAAAAAAAAAGATGGAAAAGAACTGGAGCTTGTAATTAAATGTTAAATGTTTGCTTTTGAAGGGGTTATTGGAAAATAGGAGTGTTCTTTTTTTCCCCCCTCTAAAATGCTAATATTGTTTGACATTTACCTGGACTATTTGGTACAGTATTATTTATCTTACTTAGCTGCTTAGGAGATTTTTCTGCTTTGCTATTTTTTTAATTTATTTTATTTTATTTTTATTTTATTTTATTTTATTTTTTTGAGACAGTCTACTTTCTCCGGGGTGGAATACAGCGATGTGATCTAAGCTCACTGCAGCCTCCATCTCCTGGGTTCAAGCACAATTCTGCCTCCTTGGTCTCCCAGGTAGCTGGGACTACAGGTGCACACTGCCATGCCTGGCTAATTTTTGTGTTTTTAGTAGAGATGGGGTTTTAGCATGTTGGCCAGGGTGGTCTTAGACTCCTGACATCATGTGATCTGCCCGCCCTGGCTTCCCAAAGTGCTGGGATTACGACGTGAGCCACTGCTCCCAGCCTGTTTTTTAAATTTATTTCTGGTAAATCAGTTATAGTTCACAGTGATTATAAAAGATGAGTTAAGTTCTTTCTATACTGTAGGAGTTTTGTAGTGGATGCTAACTGTAATGAATGACTAAATTTTTTCTCCATTCCCTTTAAAAGCAATACAGCCCTCTACTTGCTGCCTTTACTACTCAAGGTCAGTCTGAGCTGACTCTGTTACTGAAGATTCAGGAGTATTGTTATGACAACATTCATTTCATGAAAGCCTTCCAGAAAATAGTGGTGCTTTTTTATAAAGGTACTGTGTATTTTAGATTTTGTAAATACATTTAGTAAAAATGCTTGAATACAAAATGATCCAAATAAGTAGCTATGTGGACATCAGCTTCCTGAAATATTTTATTTCTAGTTATGAGTCACCTCTGATTCCATTGGGTACTTTTTAGTACATTGATATTTTTTAAAAACATCCCTAAACCATATTTACAAGTTAAAATATGAAATCTAAAGCCATCGTTATGCATCCTCAAACTTTGCCTCCTATACTCTAACCAGGTAGATACATTCCCAAAGTCCAGCTAGGTACAGTGGCTCACACTTGTCATTCCAGCACTTTGGGAGGAGACTGAGGCAGGAGGATTGCTTGAGCCCAAGATTTCAAAACCAGCCTGGGCTATATAAGGAGACTTCTTCTCTACAGAAAAATTTAAAATTAGCCAGGGAATGGTGGCACAGGCCTGTGGTCCCAGCAACTCAGAAGGCTGAATTGGGACTTGAGCCCAGGTGGTCAAGACTTCAGTGATCCATGATTGTGCCACTGCACTCCAGCAGTTGGGGCAACAAGTGAGACCTTGTCTCAGGAAAAAAAAACCACCCAGGTCCCTTTTCCAGACACACTGTAATCTTAGCTATGTAGTCGTAGCTTTGGAATCTTAATTAAGCCTGTGTGAATCCTGCTTCTCTTCATCTTACTCCCTCACCCAGTGTTGACTTTGTTGTCCCTCAGCACCATTTCAGTGCTTCTATAGAAACCCTGATTTCAGTTACTCTTCCCTTTCTCTTAATCCCAATTGTAGAAACCTGGTATAAAGTGGTTAGTAAAGACAAGACCCTCTGTTGGGAGAAAATCCACTGTGGTTATTTAATTTGCTATGGTTGATCGTAACACTGAAATTCTGCACTCATCAGACCAGTCTTGATCCTCCAGAGTATAGCTGGTGTGCACATGCATTATTCCAGTTTTCATGATTAACTTTTCAGCAGTTTGTTTGCTAAGCAGGCATTTGCACATTAGGTGGTGGTTCTAACTCTGTCCAAGTAGAGTTGTATTAAACTCCCCTAATGTAATGAATTTTCTTTCCAGCTGAAGTCCTAAGTGAAGAGCCCATTTTGAAGTGGTATAAAGATGCACATGTTGCAAAGGGGAAGAGTGTTTTCCTTGAACAAATGAAAAAGTTTGTGGAGTGGCTTAAAAATGCTGAAGAAGGTAAGAATTTTCCTTTGTGTGGTTTGTTAAAGCTTGAAACTGATTTTAATGTGGCCATAATAATGTTCACACATGCTTCCATCTATCTGATGCCACTTTGTACCTAGGGTAGAGATTTTTGTTAACTTAAAAGGCAGCAAGTAGAGAAAGCTAGAATTTAATTATTGTATTATATTTATGGCTCAGCCATATAGTAAGTATTCTTGGTGAAGTGGAAAATTTTGAGAATATTTAATGTTTATAAATTTGTGGATTTCTTTTTTTTTACTAATTTTTTTAATTTAAAAAATATAGACACAGGGTCTCACTATGTTGCTGAGGCTAGTCTTGAACTTCTGGGCTCAAGCAACCCTCCTGCCTCAGCCTCTCAAAGTGCAGAGATTGCAGGCGTGACTGCACCCAGCCAAATATTGGGATTTCCAAGTGAATACTTTTGACTATCCCCCTCATCTAAGTAGGTTATTAATAAAATTCCTCATGATAAACAGCTTCAAAGTTATATGGAGGCCAGGTATGGTGGCTGAGGCAGGTGGGTCACTTGAGGCCAAGAGTTTGAGACCAGCCTGGCCAACATGAGAAACCCTGTCTACTAAAAATACAAAAAGTAACTAGGCTTGGTGGTGGGCGCCCGGCTACTTAGGAAGCTGAGGTGGGAGGATCACTTGAACTCAGGAGGCAGAGGTTGTAGTGAGCCGAGAGGGTGCCACTGCACTCCAGCCTGTGTGACAGAAGGAGACTGCCTCCGAAACAAAAACAACAAAAAAAGCTTCAAAGTTGTAAATGGGAACTTTCGCCTTCTGATATATAATGCTTAACTGCATGTTTCCCCTTTTCTAGAATCTGAGTCTGAAGCAGAAGAAGGTGACTGAATTTTGAAACTACACCCTCAGTAAAGCAAACAGGAGTTGTAGATAAAATGTCATGTCTCATGTGTCCTGGTTCTTACATCTTCCTACCTCCCTGTATCAAGCATGATATAAGGGCTTTCATGGCAAATTTTATTTTAACTGTTTTTATGGTTGCTGGAAATGTTGGGTTTAGTTTCTAAAACCATGTTTTAAGTAGCTACAGGAGCTATAGATTTGACTCTAATGTTGCATTAGTCTTTTCAGTTATCTTCTACCTCCTGTATTTTCTACTGTAATGTAATTTAAGGCCTTCCACAATGAACAGTTCACTTTATTCCCTGGGTTTTCTATAAACAGTTTTCAAAATATGATTTAGTTAAAAAAATAATTTGTTATAAAAATTCTGTTTGCAAATTAAAATGTAAAAGTATCCAGAGTCTCAAAAGGCGATGATTTGTGTGATAATATGGCATGCCCAGAGCCCTACTCATCAATTAAAAATCCATATGTAATAATTGAGTTCATTTAACATGAATCTTGAATATGAGGACCATTGCTTGCATGGTTTTTGTTTTGTTTTGTTTTGTTTGTTTGTTTGTTTGCATTTTTAACTCCAGATGTCCTAAAGCTCAATTGTTTGCTCTCTGGTTTTCATCCTTAGAGAAGCCAGGGAGAACAGACTTGAAAAGTTTAGGAAATCATAATGTGGCAGAGGTGGTGAGAAGAAGAAAGTTGAGCTTTTCCCCTTGATAAACTTCTGCATTTATTTGTATTTTTCCAGGCAAAACAAATGGGTATTCTTTTCATACAGCCATTTTCAAATAAATCTTAGAAAAGTCTTATTTAAGGTATTTTATGCACAGAATACACTTAGATTGATAGGAAAGACGTCGTAAAGGAGTCTGAGTAAAGAAAATCACTGATGTACTTAACTCAGTAAAAATTGTTAAAAATGTTAAAAGGTCAGCATGTTCTAATTGGGAATCTAGATATAGCTTAGATTTCCTATTGGCTTAGAGTATTTTCTATAACAAATGAAGTGCAATGACAATTATATATTGCTACTTGGTCACCCTGGACTGGCTTCATTCTCTTAATATTCAGTAATGACTCAAGCCTCTGGCTGTTAACATACCCTAGTTGCCAATTTTTTAATTGCCATGAGCCAAATATTTCTTGTATACAACTGATCATTTATTTTAATGGCTGCCTTTTTATTTTCATCTTTTCTTGCTGCTACCCATCTATGTATGTAGTCATGGGGGGGGGAATGTAGCTACATTTTTTATAGAAAGATTTTGTGTTAAAAGTGACCATTTTGAAGGTTTTTAACTGGTGAAAGAAATTAACCTGGAATAATGCCACCAGAGACTGAGTGGAAATTGCCCCTTTTGAAGGTGCCATTCTTATGAGCCAAAAGTTTGTTGTTTAAAAGTTCATTTTGAGGGAATAACATGTAATATAATTTGAAATAAAGGTATAGTAACCTTAAAAGAACATTATAACTGAATATTGTGAATGGGGTGAATTTGTTAAATGAATAACTTTGATAAAGTTTTCATGCACAGGCAAAATGTATTCACTAGATTTCTACGTAGTGATATGCTTTTACTTTGTAATTTGTAGTTCTCAAAAGACTTTTTTTTAAAAAATAAAGTCCATACTTAACACTTAGGCTTTATACATCAGTCTTTTTTTTTTTTTTTTTGTAAATTCCATGTTAATACCTAGTATTGTATGTTGTGTGTTCAGATGTCTTTATAACAGTAAGTAGTAATTAGACTCCCAAGCTGTAAATCACCTACACAGAATTCTGTTGTAGCCAAAACTACATTAATATTTCTACAACCAATTCATTGCATGTTTCTGCCATACGAAGTGTGCCATTTTATACTGTGTGTAGTGAAAAAGTGTGTCATCTTCCAGAGCTACATTATGATCTTTGATCGTAGTTTGTTTCTTCATAATAACACAGTAGTGTTTACTTAGTACAATACTATAGTAAACGGATATTACTTGTGATGGCATAAAGAAAGGGGATGCTTTGTAAAAAGACTGCAGATTTCATTCCATATAAAAAGATTTCATTCTGAATCTTAAGTGGTAATTTTAGAATTCAGGTGCCACTGCCAGCCTGTGGCCTCAAATGTGTAATTCTTAATATAGATGTTAAATTGTACTTTTAATTTAATTACGATTGGATAAATATTGATTTTTCTAACAGTGTCAGTTTCTTTTTATTTTTTAATTACTCACTGCCAGAGAAGCATAATAGTGTCAGTTTCTAAGGATGTCTCCTCTTGGAAACTATTCTTACTCTGGGAGTTATAGATGTTTATTACTTCATTCTACACATAGATGTTTATTATTTTAAAAAAGAGAACTCCATATACCAAAAATGCTACAGGATATTTTGAAATAGCGTAATGATTTAGGGGAAATGCATGTGAAGTTGGACTTCTAATTCAAGAGGTTGGACTTCTAATTCAGTTTTTCAAAAGTTTTTTTCCCATTATACCCCCAACCTGTTTAGACATTTTTTTAATATAGTTCCCCATAAATTTTAATATCATGGATATGCTGTATATATACTGTATCTGCTTTATACATGAAAAGAGTAAATTTTTTTTTTTTTTTAGACGTAGTCTTGCTCTGTCACCTAGGCTTGAGTGCAGTGGCCCAATCTAGGCTCCCTGCAACCTCCACCTCCCATCCCAAGTTCAAGCAATTCTCTTGCCTCAGCCTCCTGAGTAGCTGGGATTACAGATATGCGCCACCACACCCAGCTAACTTTTGTATTTTTCGTAGAGACGGGATTTCACCATGTTGGTCAGGGTGTGTGAGCTGCCACGTCCAGCCACTTTTTTTTGAGGAGGGTCCTTCTTGGTAGTGATTTACCCCCATTGAGAATGCACACTTTAATCTTTTTTTTAAAGGGAAAAGACCTAGTGATAGATGTTTGCATTGTCTTTATGTTTATACTGTGAAGCAGTATTTTTTCTGTCAGGGTCAATAGAAAATAGATAAAATTCATTTTCAGCCAGTCTTTCACCAGTTGTGCTTTGTATCTTACCCCACCACACGCAACAGGCAAAGCATTTCCCACTGTCTTTCGAGGTCTTAACAGATTCTTACTTGATTGTAAATGTATCACTAGAATCATTTGGGTTTCTTCTATAGAAATCAGTGAAAATCCTCCAGATGAATGAATGCAAGTTGTAGGCGTAATACTGATCAACGGTACTGAAATTTTACTGATAAACCTCTGCTCTCATACTCAAGCAGGCTGCTTGCAGGAACTAACAACTACTGGTTGGCTTTAAATGTAACATAGATGCCAAAGTTTTAGTGTTCGCTGTTAAACTACCAAACTACTTTTGTAAAAATATTCTTCAGATTCTGTCTATGGGTGCCATATAAAGTAGGTTAATAGGTATTTGCAAATTCTGGTAAATTGCCTTGCTCTGATTTTTCATGTTCAGTATTAGTGCTCTAGTATCAATATGAAGTTTTTCTATTCCCCAGCCTACTAAGGCCTCAAGGTTAAAATATTAAGAGTAAAAAGGTTTTCAGTGGGCTTAATTTAAGTGGAATCTGGGTGATGTGATAAGTACTTCTGTCTTTAACTAATGAGTTTATAATTGGCTTTTGTCCAAGAACTTTAAGTGGATTAGTACCTGAACAATCTTAGGCATAATTATATGAAACTGAGGATCAGAACGCTTCCTGATTCCTTTCTCTTCACTTTTTTTCTCCCAACTTAACTATAGGCAATTAAGAGTTGTATCAAATCTAATTATTTTTATTTTCTAGTATATTTATTACCCTTTATGCTAGGAGTATAGTTTTAGTTCTAAATGAGTGGATGGGGTGAAGGTATTTTATATGTGCTTAATCACTGTCATTTTAGTAACCCTGAATCAGAGCCTCAATTAAAGGCTTAACTGCTTGTGGTTATAGTGCCCTGGAGGGGACAGTGGTTAAAATCTGCAGAATCCCTTGCTTTGTAGTCTTTATCCAGAAGGACTGTTAACTTGTTAAACTGGGATATGATTAGAATGTTAGTTGTTGTGTAGTGCATTTGGGGTGCTGCAATGTTAATCAGATATAATTGAGCTGTTCTGTTGTAGAGAATTTTCAGTCAGTGTAACCATTTAAAAATACCTAAGCAAAACAAACTAGGAGCTAGTTCATACTAATATACTTAAAAGGACAAAAATAAAGATTTTTTTTTAAGCTGAAATTCTAAAGGCTATGCTTAAAAGTTTAACTTAGTGGTAAACCTGTTGGAAATAAGTGATTCATTTATAGACTGAAGCCTTTATGACTCAAAAAGATAATCTACAGTTTCTGGCATTTGAAGAACAAAGTATTTTCTCTGTAAATACACCCCATTTCCATTCTAGTTAGGAGTAATGGCACCCAGCACGGCACACAGTTGAAGAATGGAGGAAACTGGATAGCTGGTAACCCAGATAGCTCTTGGCACTCTGAACAACCTCAAGTACAGCCATCCAAGCCAGTAATTCTACTGCTGCATTATTTCTGTGTTTAAATGTGAAACTTGCTTCTTGTCTGTACCCTTGAAATTGAATAAAATTTCATGAGACTCCTTGTTAATGTAGAGAAAAGCAATGACTATTCAGTTGGTTGTACACTAAGGCCTCAGTCCTTGACCTTTCCTGTTTTGCCTCTGTTTTAAATATGTTGTAAAGAAAGGCCTCTGCTTCCATTTTTTTCTCAGACTCATTTTTGCATTTGTGTGGCTCACATGTACTTAAAATTGTACATGTTCCCAAAAATGCCAGTGTTGAATTCAAAAGACATGAGTGCTATCTACAGAATGCTTCAAGTCTTGTCCACTTTAACTCCAAAATAATCTCGAATGCCATCGCAATTCAGGCCACCAGCATTTCACCTAGTTACTAAGTGATCTTTGCATCCATTTTTGTGTATCTCATCTTTTAACAGCAAAAGTGGTCTTTGGATGTAGTTTACCAGTTTAAAAGCTTTGTCTTTGCCTAGGTCTTTCATTAACTATTCAGCTTCATCTGCCTTTTTCTCTTTATCACTGTGTGCTCTGTAGTTGGCAGAGCTTGTCACATGCAAACCCCCAAGTAATTGAACAAGCTGATTACTAACTGGATTCGTATCCAGGGAATAGCGAGGAGATTATAAGACCCATCAATTTCATACCATTTGTGTTTTGTTTTTTGAGATGGTCTTGCCCTGTCACCCAGGCTGGCATGGTCACATCTCGGTGCAGCCTCAAATTTCTGGGCTCAAGCAATCCTTGCACCTCAGTAGCTGAAACTGCAGGTGTCATGCTTAATACTATAATTAAAAAGACAGGTAGGAGGAACGTTTGTAGAATTAAAGCTGTTAAGTATTTTTTATTAGGAAGCAACTTTTCTTAGACAAGATTAGATCCAAGCTATTTCTGTCCTGTGATTAGTATTCCTATGACTGATGTGACCAAAACAGGATGAGAAGCAGGCATTCAGCAAATGTGAATGTGACACTGTCAGACCCTCTGCTGAGCTTTAAGACTGGTAATGAACAGCACTGGGCCCCAAGATTCAAGCCCACAGGAGGAGACGGGAAATGAAGAGTGGGCTGAAGGCAAAACAAATGGATGTGGTAGAGACTGGCAAATTGGAGAGGCCAGTCTCAAGGATATAATCTGTAAATTATTGATATACCATGAAAGACAAATTGTACTTGCAGATAAAATATGGTTTACAAGCCCCTAATAACTGAACAAAACAGTACATGCCTACCTGGAAAGTACAGTCTAGTGGAGAAAAATCTGTCTCCATCTATTTGGGCAAATAATTTAGCCTCTGAATCTTGTTTCCTGTACTTATAAAATGAGAACTGCAATTCAATTTTAATTAAATTATATCATTGCTGGGGAGACAGGTATACGCCTGTAATCTTAGCTACTGGGGAGGCTGAGGTAGAAGGATTGCTTGAGTCCAGGAGTTTGAGCATATAGTGAGCTATTACTATATTTGAGAATAGCCACTGTTCTCCAGCCTGAGCAACATAGCAAGACTCCATCTCTGGGGGAAAAAATGGTGTCATTTTACCCAGTGATAAAATAAAAATGACAGCCTCAACTACCTCATGGGGCAGTTGGGAAGTCTTACCTAAAGGTGCTTAACACAGCCCCTGGCACATGCTCACTTGGTGAATGGTGACTATTTTTTTGTTCACCAAGGATGGGTTCATGGAAGAGCAAAGAGCTCTGGGCACTGTGCCGACTCCTAAATATAGGGGTTCTTTGTTTGGTAGAAATCAGTGGAAAGTAATTTAAGTCCCAGCTGCCATCATTATGATGCCTGCTTTAGCAACTATGAAAACGGAGAAGCAAGATGGTAGCTGAAATCCTCATGGCCCAGTAGTGAGTGGTAATCATGCTTTGTGTGACTGGTCAAGTATTCAATCCCACAAAATCCTTTGTAATAACAGTATAAATGTTATGAACTTCTAAGAACAAGAGAAGAATTAATGGCAGATGGAAAATACCCAAATACTGGAAGGAGGAAAGCAGATATAACCAACAACGAGCTTGGTTTTAGCTTTCTCTGTTCTGCCAAGCCCCTGTGATGCAGCAGGTTGCTGACAACCCAGAAAGTTGATTGGGACTGCGGAACTCAGCAAGGTCTTGA